TTAGAAATAATGAATTTAACCCTTAATTTTGCCTTTCCTATATTTTCGCCTTCGGGTGAGCAGTGTGATTGCATCCTAATTGACTTAATTACCGCAAATAGTTTAAGGGTATAAAATTTAACTATCTTTTTTTAAAATTCCTGTAACTGTATGCCAGCATTGAAAGAAACAATCTGATAAGAAATGGTTGCGACTTGTTTTGAAAATGAAGCGTAAAAGGTTACCAGCGAAGATGTTCCCGTTTGGCATCAGTTGTACCATTATTTGCGACTTTATCGTTTGCGCCGGCAAAACGGAAAAGTACCTTTTTAGCAAGTCTTTTGGGTTAAATTTATTAATTTAAATATAACTTTCTTTCCGCTTACACTACATAAAATTCAATTCAACAGCAAAATCACAAAAGCGGCATATCTTTAAATTTCCGATAGACAGTCTCGTGCGCTGGAGATAAAAATGCTGTATTATTTTTATACACTGAATGCTACACATATTGAGTATTACATATATTTATAAGCCAGATTGCTCCCTTCTACCGCTTTTCTTTAGTAACAGACCTTTCAAACGTAGCATTGGCTACAGTGCAAAAGGACTTTAAATCAGATGAAAGAAAATTAAATTATTAATAATTTTTAAATTCTGTTAATTTCGAGATTACTAGACTGCCGCTTTTGTAAATCGTATCGGTAAAAAATCTCAAAAACAAATTACACTAACTTTCCGACAAACTGGCATCTAATGGTTCGGCACACCCGATACGTTCGGCATACCCGGAAGGCTAAGTATGTCATTCGAAAGTAATCCGAAGCGGCTGACATTTGTGTTGGGGCTATCATCATTATGACTAAATGTTACGCAGGAAAGCAATTCTGCTAAAGAAAGCAAAAATATCGATAATCTTGGGACTAACCACTAATTGAATTTAATCCAATATATTCTTCAACCAGTTTTCTAGTTACACTTTTTAAACATGAAATCTGATAAGAGGTAAAAAAGCTAAACCCAGTAATGGAAAAATTCCGCTGATGTCAAAAGACAAAGGATTTGGTATTAGTCGGCATAAGGTAGGCGAAATATTAAATGGATTTGCGAAACTTAGAGGATAATAACCAGAAAAGCAACGATAACCAATTAACCAATCAGTCTTCATATTTTCCTTAGTGATGTTTTGTAAAAAAAGATCTGAATCGAATTCGAAACGTCATCATACAACAGCAATACAGTAGATTCCAGCTCGTAAATTGTGAATAATTATACGCGTTCTGCGCTTCCTAACTTTTATTTACAATCACCGATTTCATTTGTATTTTAGAATAAAGTCAATCATTCAATATATGGAGCTAGGCTAAATCTTTAAAATGTCGCATTTTTACAGCAAGTTAAAGTACGGTTTCAGGAAATGCTTTAACAGTATTAGTACCACATTTCCGATAATTACATATATCGGATAATTCGACATAACCAAAATCCCGAACTTGCCGCATAATTGAATTTTTACTCACATCAATAAAATTCTTCATAAGAGAATACTCAAAAAGGTAGTTTTACTTGAAATAAATGCAAGTTAACTTTTGTCTAAACCAGCTCTTGGAAAATTTAATTTTATACAAGAAATTTTAAACTCAAAAGTAATAATTATTCGTAATTTTTTTATTCATGTATTGACAACGTTATTTTATCATTTCAAGAGTTCTGCAAGGATGATGTGTTTAGAAACGCGGTTTTACGTTAACTGCAGAATTATAAAGTAACCATGTCCTCACAAGTAACAAAATTTAAAAGTCGTTCTAACGTTTCAACTTTCATGATAAGCCTACACTAGAATCGAAATTCTGATATTACTTTACATTACTGTTTACTGGGTAAAACTTCATATGTTACAGATGACTTAGAAGTTAATCTAGCAGGTTCTGAGGAATTTTAATTCTCTCAGGAACATAGTTTAATTACTAAGTGATCTGAAAAAGTGATAAGTATTTAAATCTAGATGCATTGAAAAATAAGTAACAATTTTGATGAATATTAAGAGCTCTCTTTAGTTAATTTAGAACATTTATTATTAACAGCATTCAATGGAAAGCCATCTTAAGTAAATGATGCCTTGGAAGATCCATGTAAACACAGAGAAAACTTCCAAATAGGAAAATTTCTTTCCATGTTGCGCATTCTCTGGCGTCTAGTATTCTGCGACTTAGGCATTCAGCCAGCATTTCGGTAAGACTTTTTCTATAGCGAATGTAACACTGCAACTGTTCACCTGAATATAAATCTTCCTGGAAGACTTGTCAATGTTTAAAAAGAGCTTTAAGTTACGATAAAAAGCGGAAGAAAACTTATTCCACAGGCAGCATGAACTGTCATTCATACCAAAGATCCACATAGTTTTAGGGGGATATGTTGTCATCCTTTTATTGAGCTATTAAGTATTTATGCTATGAACTAAAACTGCTTTTATTCAGGTTTTGGTAGTAACCAACATTCTGTACTTTTTAATTTAAAAAATGCAACACGAGAAACTGATCTATAAGGACGGCCCCAAAAATGGCTCACCGATTTATACGGATGGAGCCAGAAATGCTCATGACATTCGAAAGAGATACATGGAAGGCCATCGTAATCTTTCAAGCCAAAGCGCTCGCCATACAGGATGCAATCATAAGGGCTTGCGAAACAATCTGCACTGACAGTACTCGCAGTTGCGAACTATAACCACAACTCTTCCATTAATCAGAAATACAGCAAATCCTATTCAACAGCATTCAAGTATACATACATCTTAGTTGGGCAAAGACACATGCAGAGCTACAGGGAAACGCAACAGCAGATAAGCTTGCCAAGAAAGCTGCCAGCAATTTTAATGCATCAGAACTTAACATTCCAGTGCGATCATTACACCTGAAGCACGCACTGCTGGGCAAAGCGATCCAAATGCGACAATTTGAATGTCACTAAGGTGACAAAGGAAGGCAGACATGGTTTCATACCAAATCTTAACAGGTCAAATTAGAATCTCGCATCCAATTACATTACTCACCAGACAGTTTCCAATGCACTTTTATCATTTTAATGTCTCGTACAGAGATGTCCATCTGCGGAAATGAAGCTACCTTGATCTTGATTCTGCCCGATAAGGGCGGCAAATCATTCGCGTCTTGTTACCAACTTTGATAACTATGAGAAGGTTTATAATCGCTAACCGAATCGCAGTTAACAAAACCTGTAGGCCGATAAAAGTCATAGCGAGGGTAGGGCAATATATATCAACAGCACTAGTGAAATCAGGGACACTTACCGAGCTACACTTCCTTTCCAACAAGCGCACAATTGATAAATTATGTGCGATAGCAAGAATTGCGCTTAAATTAGGGACTTTGAAAGTTAAATTCAATATTTGTTATCTTACAGGTCGATATTCTCTTTCAAAGCCATTATTAATAGACTCATTAACAAGCCACAAAGAAGTTTGAAAAATATTTAGTCTACCTCAGACTTCAACGTATTTAAAAAACTCATTCTTTGGATAAACTAATATATTGGAAAATCTGCATCCCAAAGAACGAATATTTGAAATTTATACGATACATTACAATTAAAAATTTAACGTTTTAAAGTTTAGCATCGGTTTCTAAAACTTCTAGATCGGAATGAACTGTATCAGAATGAACTGGATTACGCAAGATAAAGGCAAAGTAATCCAGTACTATATGCTTAAGGGGACGCATTTCTGCGTGGTGAAACCCTTTTCCGTAAAAATCAGGCTTATATTCACGTTAGGCATTGGGAAACTACCTTACACTCAACCCAGTTGCTAGGATATGAACACTTATCGAATTACCAGAGTTACGTTTTGTAAAGCAACATGCTATATACATACTGCGAATTAACATTGCGATTCCATTAGTGTAAAGACGCTAACAAATTAAAATTTTTCGAATGGATCACTTAGAAGCTATTCACGGTAACTTTTTTTTCAGAATCTAGTGAATCAATGATTAAAGACTTATTTGCTTATGGCGAAGCCTAGAAGGACCACGCATAAGGGAAGAAGTATCTTTGGAGGACTTAAGGAGAATTTGTATTCATGAAACACTTAAGAACTTTCAAGTACTTTTAGATTTGGATGGAAATATCAAGACAGCAAATGCCTTTTCAAGTAAACTTTACCTCTTGAACGTATTTTACTTTAATACATTTGTTCTGCTTTGCGTCTTCTAGGATATTTCTACCATTCATAATATGCATTCGTTCCTATATTTTGGGAGTACAAAAAGCCCGCTGCAGTTAAGAATTCAAGCTGATAAGTCATGTGTCCCTACAAATGAAGAAAGCCCTTTATCATGCGTTTCAAGTCCGCTAATTTTTATCTTTTCCTTTTTAAAGCGAGGAGGCTAGTACAAGTTGCATTTTACTTAATATGCAAGTTTATGAAGACATTCGTTTGATTACTATTATGTTTCAAACTATTTTTCGAACTTTTAGTGAGGCAAGCTGAAGCTAGTATAAAATTACTGCCTCTGTATTGACGACAATTAAAAAGAAATTTCGAGCTGTTGGCATATTCCAAGTTTCCAAATCCAGTTTAATAATGCGAATTTATTGCCATGAAACGTTGAGAAAACCTACTTATGCCTTTTATAAGGATATATCCAACTTTTCGTTCATTTACCACTGGCAGAACGGAGGATGACTTAGCAATTCCATAGATTTCCAATTAAGAAGCTTGCATTGACATCTCTAAAGTAAATATAATCCAGTTCTGTTGAATTACCTTCGGTGAAGGCAGCATTCAAGCAAGTAATCTTGGCGAGCTTTAGAGTATTAAAAGAAAAATTCCGATTTTAAGTTGTATACATTTAACATGTTTCAGATCTTAATACGAAGTAAGGAGCTTTTGTGTTGCATGCACAAATCTAAATTCCATAAATATGAGGTTTAAAACTGAGTAATGAATACATTAATCTGAACAAGATTAGCGATATTTTGCACGATAACAAATTTCAAGATTAATGTTTGTAAAACTCAGAGAACAGACTTTATTGATAATTAAAATTATAGTACATAACACATACACAAAAATCCTATGCACATAAAAGTCGTATTCACATAAAAATCCTATTTATACTGAATGGTCATTTAAAACAGTTGCAGAATGTTCATTTTATGAATACACATGAAACTGCTCTGAAAGTCCTGATATATGGAAGAGCATGTCCACTTCGAGTAGAGAAACGTGAAGTCAGTTCATTAAAAATCACTCATGAGTAATGCTAATCATTTAGCCCCCGACTCAAGAAACTAAATAGATGGTGGGAGGGTCAGCTCAGACAAATTTTTTTTATCCATTATCAGCTTACGTAGGAACTTGAAGATGCTTTCGCCAACGAAACACCACAGTCTCACGAAGTGCTGCATACCTGCTCTTCAGCACCATCTACACATTTCATTCTTGTTCCATCGCCAGTCTTCAGTTTTCTGTTCTTGACTAGCTCGGGATGAACAATCTTACGATCATAAGCCAATCCAATCAGTGCCATAAAATCGATAAAGATCTTAGTGAGGTTGAAAGTATATCCTAATTCGCTTGTGGAATAATCCCAAGGGAAGACGTGGTGGTAGTTATGCCATCCTTCACCATGTCCAAGTAAGGCAACAATGGAGTTTTCACGAGCTTCAATGTACCTGTCGTAAGGTTGATCACCATACTTGTGAGCAACGCTGTTGACTAACCATGTGACGTTTAAGCTGAAACAATATCTTGCCAAACCTGCTATGAAGAACGAGTTCCACAGTGTTTCACCCCAGAACCAGACAGGAATCATGGTAGGTACGTAGAAACTGAAGAGCAGAACCATCGGGATATAAAATCTAAGATTAAAATTGAAAATAAAGGACAATGAAATGTTTGCATTATAATACACGCAAGAGTTGAATAATTATATTAAAAACAACCAATTAATATTAAATACGGATCCAGAAATTTAATTGAAATAGGCAGCAAAATTCTGCAGCAGTCCTGATCTATTAGCTCGTAAACCAGATTGACTTAGTATCCAGTTGAACTATAAATCCAAGATAAGAAGCTACAATAAGTTCTTGGTTGTTACTGAGAAGCGTGTCGTACTTAAGTGAAATAAGCCAAATTTTAGGTTGCAATGGAATTAATAAAACAGCTAATGTTAGTGAAATAAATGGCTATTTGAAGTTACCTTCTGTGGAACCTAACTATTGGATCGGCCCAAAGATCATCGAGGTAGACAGTTTTTCCTTTGGAAGCAACAGCAGGATGTTTTCTGCACATGAGCCATCCCATATGAGCGAAGAAAAACCCTCTTTTGATGTTATGAGGATCAGCATCAGTCTCTGTAAATTTATGATGGACCCTGTGATCCCTGCACCATTCATAGATGTCATTCTGTCCAAAGAGGATATAATCAATTCATAAGTCGTTTTCAGAAAAAGTGATATTTGAGGTTCAACATCAAACTCACCTGAGCTGCTATGCTAGCAAAGATGCACAGTAAAACTCGCAGAGGCCACCTTGCTTTATAGGAACGGTGAGACCAAAGCCTATGAGAGCCTGCTGTAATACCTAATCCTCCAATGTTCCCATAGATGTAACCTTCAAAATATAATGTTTAGATCATAAATACTAAGGTATACAGACACTAAACATTGAAAATTGACAAATTTGATACTTTCAATCAGCAATATATTAAACTAAATTTAATCACTCAACCAATTAAATTAAGTTTTGGAGAGTAAAATTGAGTACGAGGTTTGCTTTCGAAAAGTTTTACATGATGAAAAGTTAAGAATCGGCTCAGTTTTCTGAAGTTAAATTTTAGTTGAAAAGAATTAAAAACATTCAAGTCGAGTTATAATTTACACCCGATTTCAATTTTAAAAATACAGATTCAGAATTTAGATTGAAACATTAGTTAATCGAAATTATAATCAAGTCTTAAAATCACAGTTGATCTTGTCTTATCTTTTACTACTACTAAAATTTCATTAAAAGCCCTGAAATCGTAATGCAGTCGCAAAGATTATGTTAAACAAAAGCAGAGCCATCAAGTCTGGAATTCCAAATTATAACGAAAACGTGGTTATAAAACTAAATTTAAACTCTTCTCTAAAGACTCAAAGACAACCAGAATTCCTTGTAAACTACCTTCTTCCGCAACTTAGCTCAGACTTTAATTCTAGTAAGTTTTTAATTGAAATAAAGATGGCCGAGAAGATAACTACACAAGTTGTTTTTAAACTTATACTTTGGTTCAAGTGGCTTCAAGTTAAATTTAAAAGGTAACGAAAAATATTTACCCAAGTGGCGTGTGCGAGATAAGTACTAAATCTAAACCTAGACAGAATTTTCGAAATGGATTTAGTAAACCTTGGAAGATGAAATTCAGAATTCGAATGATAGTTTCAGTTAAAAATTTTAAAATACCACTAAATTTAAAAACTTCGTAAAGATAAATTTTAAGTTCAATAGTTTATTTTTAGTTTAAAGAGTTGCAATTTCAATAGTTGATACTCAGCATCCTCTTGCTGCGATCTCGAGTACCATGCTACAAATGTGCTTGTACAAAAAATTTTGAGTTCTAGAGAGTTTCAGCATAGTGTGTTTAAAACTGAAGTAATCCTCTTCACTACTTAGCTTAAATCGAATTTGGAAAACTGAAGTTGGCTGCTTTTTAAAACTAAAATGAACATCGAAGATTAAATCAAGTTTTGCTTGAATTAGAAACTAAAATCTTTTCGTCTTTGAAGAATTCGAGAAAAGTATATTTCAAAATACAAGACCTTCGTTAGCGTCATTGAAACTTTTCACCAAAAATTAAAAATTTAACGGCATTTGGCGGGAAGATATTTAGCGCCAACTGGACAATAACAAATTAAACATTCACAACTGATTTGATTCTGCCACTGGAATAAGTTACAGTGAGTTTAAGTACTACCCAGCAGTAATTTTTAAACTTTCAGTGGAACATACATGTTGCGTTAGTAGTCAAGGGGTTAAATAACCCAAGTGTAATATCCCAGATCCTCCTAATGCTTCTTAAAGGATTTTTTAGTTTTTAGATCACATGGCTATTGAAATACAGTTTTGTACGTATTGAATGTTTGCCTTAATCGTTTACCGATTTGCAACGCATGTTCTAGCAGGTTGAATTTCTGCCTTAATGTCAAATTAAACGCCATCCGTACGATTAATGAGGAATGCAGCCAATTTATTTAAGTTTAACATCTCAAAGCTGATAAACTTCAATGTTAATACATACCAAATAGACAAGTTTTTAAATATGCCGATGTCAATCCGAGATAAACTCCGTAAAAGAAGCTCAAATGAAGATACACGAAAAGGATAACATTGAACCACACGATCTTTGTCTTATATTGTGGCTTTTGTTCTACTTTGCTTTCAACACTTTCCTCCGCAAGAGCAGCCGAAGAATTGGGAGCCATTCCTCCAGTTCTAAAAGAAAAAGAATGAAATCAGAATATGAATATGCTGAATATTTTCAGGAAGTCTCCTGAATACAGCAGTATATTTACTGCAAGGGTCTGGCGAATTACTGCGAGAAATCTTTGCATGTACAGCACTCTGAAGCGACTATGAAAAAACTATTTAGCCATCGAGAATCTTTACCGAACAGTTTTTGGTGCATTTAATATGCCCAGCCTCAAATACTGAACAGTTTCAAATTTTATCCCTGCGCTAAAATGTACGGCAGCCTACCAAGATATTTTACTTGGGAAACTAATTTAAACGTAACTAAAATGCAAGTGAATCTAAAAGAGAACAAACTATTACGAGTAAATTAGTAATCCTACATTTCATCGTGTTATTTGCAAGATAGTTCTTGAAAACTTTAAAAAGCCTATTATTTTCAGCATCTTATCGGAATAACAAAATTTCAGTTTTCAATTTAGCAATTGCATTGAAAGTCGTCAAGATAATGATAACTTAGTTTACTGTTTAAAGTCTATTAAAGTAGACTTACATATGGTAATGATTAGTAAACTTGCCCGAGTTAAGGTGGAGATCAATTACATTTTGGGATTAATCCATAAACATGAACGAAGTCTTAAATGAAATCTTCAATGCTCATGTATAGCATAAAGTTGAATTATTTAGTAAAATGCAGATACGCTTTACCGATTTCCAATTGTTCAAGGGAGCTACGCATAATTGATAACTGAAAGTACATCTTATGTAGCTATGTTGAAAGGAAAGTTTTGTAGCAATATTTGACAATTTACTGCAGTAATGACAGCCTTAAGGGCAGAGATTCAGATTTCATACGTGATCAAATGGAACACTAGAAATGTAGGATGGATTAAAATACAAGTATACAAAATCTTACTGGCCGAATTAGGTTTTAATCCATCACAAAACGAATAAAACGAATAATAAGCTACTCTTTTCCAACTAGTTAAGTAGGTTATTACTGTTCGAGATCGAGTTAGGGATCTTCAGGTCTGAGAGAAGCACACGAACTGGATCCCCTGGATTGTGCATCGCGGAAGAGGACCAACAGTTCAATTATCTCTATTCTGTGAAGTTGAGATCGTCGCTTTTTCAGGATAGGAAAAAGTAGGTAATTTTTTTGGGGCTACAGCTTAACGGAGTCCTTAAAATGCAGCTCAGACGCAAGTCTAATCTAGTATCTAATATGGAGTTAACAGCAAGATAGTTATCTTCATTAGCATGTGTAAGCACATTTGCATTACAGTCTTTTAGGAAAACTCTACTCTTAAATCATTTACCTTCTCTTCGTTTTGCTTATGAGGAATATGGCAATGTCCAGTACAGCTATCTGTGTAAGGGGATAGATGCTTTTGTGGAGGACTTTAAGGGGAACTGGGTCGTATACATGTTACATATGGAGGAAAACCACGAAAGCGCCCATGCAGCCATACATAGATTTACTTTAGAGTTCGATTACCGACACTATGAAGCAACAATTCCTTCGTCTTAACTTCATAGTTTAGTTAAATTTCGTGGGCTAGTCTTGCAATATAAATGCATAAAATTTATACATGCCGTAATTATTCAACTTCAGAAACAAAGTTTTAATAGTGGTCTTAAATGTATTTGCAACCATTAAAAACTAATGCATTCTACATTTGTAAGACTCATGTTAGTGCAATAGTGAAAACATTGCAATTCCAAGAATGTAACAAATTCAATAAAATTTTGCTAGTGTCAAGCTGATAGACATGCTTGAAGCGGAGGTGCCACATCTGGGATCTGCTAAAATAATGCAGAAGATTTTCCCAAAATTTGATGAAATAAGGTATAACACCTCAAATTTCTACCGATTGGGTTCTGCTAACAGAAAAACTCATGTACAGTCGTAAAAGAGTTCAATTTGCATAGTTATCTTTGGTCCCGAGGGCTAAGGCGACACCACACAGAATGTAAAATAACAGAGGTCCGAATGTTAATTTTATGTATTTATGAAAGTAAATAAAAATTTACTCTAGTGCTACGAAACATAATTAAGTAGTTAATATATGGACTTAAAATCTGAAGTTTTGAGGTATGAAACTGCCGAATGAAGTTGGTTCGCTTTAAACTTCATAAACAAGCTTGTTCAATACTGCGAGATTGAATTACTAAGCTAGGCGTTAAAATTTCGAATCAGGAGTGATAATAGCCTAAATATCTTTACACTTCAAGAACTAAATTACAATTTCATCCAAGTTTCAATGAAAGGGTGAAAAGGAAATTAAATCTTGTTTTGTAATCACAAGATTTTGAAGAAAGGCGAAGATTAATGTAAATAAAACTTCGGAAGTGTTAAAAGCATCATAGGGATTTCACAAGCGAAGTGAAGTTCACTCATGTGCGAAATGGAACAGAACGAGTTCCCTTCATTCATCCTAAATTATAAAAGGTATTTATAGTTTCATTTTAGAAGGAACTCTAGAAGTCAATTTGAAGAGAATTTAGGTTCACATTATTCGGCACTTCCTGTCACCCATTTCCGATGCCCAGCAGTTCTTTTCGAATTTAATAGGAGTTAAGTGCTTGCTACTCAAAGCTGGATCAAGGACACCTGTCTGAAAGCGTAATCTTTTCTGTTTAATATTAGGGTTTTGGTGTATTGAGGCAAGGGTGGAACCCTAAACTTGAAAGTCTCATTAGTGCTTTAGTTTCGAAATTGCTTTCGCACAACATTTTACAAGAAAGTTAAAATTTGCTTACAATGAAATCATTCGTTTTAACAGCACACACCTATATGCAGCACAACATTTGATTCAATTTGAAGACATCGCGATTTCCGAATGAAGTTTAGTTTTCCGAAATTTACGGGAGTCACTTTGTGGAGTTTACATCAAAATACACATATCTGTTCAAGTTCGCAGGATTTTAACAACTATTTGAATTTAGGAATGCAACTTAACACGAAAGAAACCAAGTTTCATTTAGAGGTATTCTGTGAGCCAGTCGTGATCAAGGTCAAGACGATAATGAAGTTTTTGTTTGCGAAAATAAAGATTACTGCTGAGAAATCACCAACAGATAGTTCTAACCTATGCTTCCATTGCAGTCTCCAGCGATTTAACATGCACTTGTGGGCAAAAATACGTGTCGAATGACCATCAGAAGAATCGTGTGGCATTGATTAGACCTGGTGAACAAGAAGATCGATCGCAGAGTACTGTATTTTCTAGTAGGGTATGAATGAAGGTCTGCAACAGCTTTATTGTGAACACAAACACGCAACGGATTAATGCATCAACAGGTACGAAATTACGGAATTATACACGATTGTGAAATATAAATGAGAGTACTGTAGGAATTTGTTTATGGTCCTGAAGATATTAAGTTTACCAAAAGCTCCAAGGATGCTTATGTAAAAATTATTTGCCAGGAGTCAAACTATTCAACATGCACTGTTGTCAAATTGCATATGAAGATCACTTAGAACTAGGTGAACTACAATAAACCTTATATTTAAAATTTACCAACAAGATTTTTTATACAGAAAGGAAGTAATTTTATAAACTCAAATTTACTATTTCGTGGTAGAAGTTTCTAGAAAATAAGAAGCTGAAAACCGTTTAAATATCACTTTAAACTGTTTTCAATAATGTCTTAATGTTACGATTATATTAAGATCTTCGAGTTTTATTTAGAATTACTCGCAAGGAAAGTTTAAAATAACCCAGCCGAAAAGCGGAATTTAAAAAGATTGAATTTTAACTTGGCGTAGTTGCTGGTATAGCGATTAAAGCTTCAGACTTCCAGTGCTCCGAAGGATACTGGAAGTCATTTGTGATCAGCAGATGACAGTTGTCTTACTAAGGGGACGGTGGACTTTAAAGTAGCTAAAAATCAACCAATGTATTGAATTTTTTTTTTACTCTCACAATATTCCATATACATAGCTTCATCGTACGCAAAATCCGAATTCAAATATTCTAATTTTTAAAGTTACAAACATTTAAAATGTGTAAATGAACGTCAACTTTGCCCTTTAAATTTTGGAGGAAATATAAAAAGTATACGTTATTTACCAATGTTATAAATTGTACATTTGTCTAAAAGAAGTGCATTTCTAAGAAAAGGCTACAAATGTCAGTATTAACAGCTATTAATGAATTTAACTTTGGTTATGTAAATGCTATATACGCGTAGAAAAGAAGGAAATAAACTAGTTTTCCCTACGCGTTGCAAAAAGCGTAATGAACGTCGCTTGAACCAAAGCAAAAAGTTTACCTGCTTGGAAAAAACAGAAATAGTAAAAAATATTATAAAGATTAAAAGATAATGTAAATGTAACAAATAAAGGTAAAACACATGACGCGAGTGAATTTTAAAGGTTTCATTGTTTATAATGCATAAATTGTTTCTACCTCTAACTTTGAATCGCTTACTAATTTGCGGCATGTTTATTTTTCTCATATTTAATACGAGATTAAGAATATTTAAATGATACGAAAATCGTTATCTAGTGTCTGCATATTCATATTTAAAGGTAACTTGCTGTTTGTCATTACCATGTATTAAAAGTAAGTTTGATGAAAAACTTAATTCGGTTCTCAAAACATTTTTTTGCAGTTCGTACGTCATGAAAATGCTGCATGCGTCTCATTTTTAGTTAAAAATGAATGATATTTGGAAAAAATTTATCTTGTTATATGTTACAGTAGATCTGTGTATGCACTTTTGGATGAGGTTATTAAGAAGTTTAAAGTTGTGATAATGCTTAACAAAAGGTGACATTTTTCCGAAAAGTGGGTTTAAGTGCTTTAAATCAAAACAAGTTTTTAAAAGGTATTCACAAAAATCCCTTTTAAAAATTTTTGATCCATCATAATCAATAAGGTATACACAAAAACCTTTGTCAAGTCTTTACAACTAACTTTAACGAAAAATTCGAAAAAAATATTGAAAATTAGCGCGAAAAGAGCATTTTAAATCTTTAAAATTATTTGTTTAAAAATTTTTAATTTAAAATTGAAAATTTGAACATATATTTCATAAACTGATGCTATAATACGTATATGTATAGAATTTCTTGCCAAAAGCGTAAAAACTTAAAAACTAGATTTTCAAAGTCCACCGTCCCCTTAATGTGCAGAGTAATTTAGACTGATGGCAAAATATAGGAAACTTAGAAGGCGTAAGGAACTTTAAATAAAACCTATTGTTATGTTGCACAGGAATCCTCCCCTCCATTCGCCATTTTCTGCTTCTAAAAACAAACATCGACACGAAATTAGGCGAAACGGACACATTTTGAAGAGTGCATATTTTCGCGAATGTTTAAGGGAGACTTTCGGATTCACGTTACACATTAAGTAAAGCACAAAAGCACCGATGTAATTAGTCCGCTTGTCGGTAACCAAAGCAGAGAGGCTGTTAATACCCAATATCACTCGCCCTCGGTTATCTCAATATTGAAGATAATTGAGCAGAGCTCGTTTTACCTCAGCTCATCAACCATTTAACGAAATTTTCGCCTTATTTTTAAAACGGTACGCTCATTTGAAGCATTCTGGAATATTAGAACTTTAAAACGTTTATTGGATGAAAAGCAGATTTTGATCACTAGAAACGTGCATGTGAAGTTTCACGTTGTTACCGTTTTGATTCCACAAAATCCGAAGTTACACTTGCAAAATGTAGAAAACTCCTAATCTGAGCAGTAGTAAACTCAGTCTATTAATATACTTGTTAAGATTAAGCTGAAGTACACATACCAGGAAACTGACGAACTGTATAAACATTTGATTACAAGTTCAATTGCCAGGGGTGTTTTCACGCCTTAGCGAGTTTGTAGATGAAGAAATTATACTGAAGCATAAATTACAAGTTCACGCGCTTCTGCTTTGTGATGTCATCGAAGCGACGAATAGCAACGACGTATGAACAGTCACTATCTAGAAGTCAGAACTTCCAATCTGGAAAGCCAAATTTCGCTTCTTCAGTGCTGAGAATTTAAACAGTTTCATAATTAAGTGTTAATGGTATGGGAAAGACGACCGCTATTAAGTTAAAATTCAACATTTCGTTTTCCTACCATTTCCTACTATTTCGTTCCTACTCATTTCTTACCAGAAGTTAACTACGCAGTATTACCATTTTAAAGTGTTTATTTTTATAAATTATGAACAACAGATTTCGTCCGAATTTAACAGTAGCAACACAATTCGAAGCTGTAGACCACTAGAGGTCATTCATCTACATATGAACGCTTCAAAAATCTTCGCAGTATTTCAGTAACTCGGTGTAAAATTTCTTTATAAAATGTGGTTCTAGGCAAGGATATAGTGCTATGCTGTTAATTAAAAACTGCATTTAAAACATGCAAGGAGATGCAGAGGAATTAACAAGACTTGCGTACTCTTTAAATACCCACATAACTTGAAAAGTAAATCAAGATTTGAGATTTCAAACTTAAAAGAAGGAATTGAAAGGCAAGCTTGATTGTGAACCATGACTAAGGGTCAGTCAGAAGTAACGCAGATTTAGAGGCCGAATTTCAGCTAATATTAAGACACATATAACACACACATACCCAAAGAGTGCCACGTCTGTTAAGTTCATCGGTATTTAAGAAAGTTTTATGATTTAAAAATAAATTACGCTGGATGAAGATTTCCTCATATATTCATTACAGATGCATCTGTAATAAATTTAAAATTAGATTAAATATTGGTGGATAATATTCGCATAGTATTTTAGAACTATTTCATAGCTTAATAAGCAGAGTTGGAACTTTTAACAGAGATTGTTTTTTATATACGCCTCAAATTAAGCTACAAGATGACTTTAAATACAACACCGATTTTTTGTAGTACTGTAACCGATTTTATTCATCATACGAAAATCGAATAGTCTTAATCGTGCAGTTCAATTCTGAAGTAAGAGCACTATTATACACGTGTTGCAAAGTTACTTTAGATTAATATTTTACTGCAGAAATAGTTCCTCTAGATATTATTCGTATTAAAATCTTTGAGGTAGATATGCTAGAAAATTCTAGCAAACATTAATTACTTACAGAAATCTTTATACAATGTGTAAAGCAATATAAAATATGCAGATAGTACGATATTTTAGAGAGAATCCTTGTGCAATTTGTTTTGTTCATCTTCAGTGAATGTTTATATACATGAAAGATACCAGTTGAATTCTTTAATCATGTGCCAGAGGAATTGTTTCGAATAAATATGTTAGAATATTCATATAGTTCACTTTTTTTTTTACCCAGAATATTTGTTGTTTTATATGATAAAAATATATTTCCTGATTAACAAAATGTATTTGATGCTCATAAAATAAGCAAGGATTAAATTAACTGCCAAAAGATCGATTGTTACGTCTCTATAGCAAATCTTGAGAACAATCCTATTAACTCCCTGTGGTTATAAGGGTAAAGCGTTATTAATTTTAATTCTAGAATTAATTCGCGATAGGTAAAGAGTCATTAGTTTTAACTCCAGAAAGTAATTTAATGATTTTATCAAGAATTACGCATTAGAATGCGCATTTTGGGCAACATTAGCTTTACATAAAATGACTTCATTAATGAACTTGAAATGTTAAGATCTTACAACACTCAGCAAGTCATGCTTTAAGTATTAAATTCAAAATTGAAATTATAAGTTGATTAACGCTTTATAATCCCATTTTAAGAAAGCCATTAATTATTTGAATATAATAAAACAAGTTCTGAATTTATAAAAAGGTAGGGAAAATAATACTAAATATCTTAAGAATTTACTTTCACAATACATAGCGAACATAAAGCAATATAATTGACAATTCATCCGCCACTCAATAATTTTACCTCAAATTTTTACGAGTTTAAGTGTTTTACGATAAGCTCCCATCTGTGGAACGGATAAATCTTACACAATAATTAAAATTTTTAAAAGTGATATAGCGAAAAACGGTTCTTACTTGTAGCAGACAACGTGCCAAGAATTCACATGCAAAAGCACCCGTTGAATGAAAGAACCGGAGTACCAGTTCCAAAACAAAACCAATCCTCGCCCGAAAGTAGATGAGCTGAACTTCAACCGGTACGTTTGAGAATGAAGTGTAGAACTGCATCGCTCCAGCCATCTTTTTACCCTAGAACCCCAAATCCCCGCGTCTCAACCTGATTGGCTGCAGTAACATTGCATCAGGTATTTTTGTGACGTAATGTTGTCGGTCAGCTGAAAGTGGGCATATTAATTGCTTTTTTTCACTTTCGGAAAAGATAAAATAAAGATTTTCCTCTATTTATTAATATTTTCTGCGAATAAATCCCTCTTAAATATTTTTTTCGCTAATGGGATACGCGTTTTGATCACATTTTTGATTTTGCGTCTCACTTAATTTTTTTTAATGTACGAATCACTCGGACTCGTTTGCATTCATGACTCCTGCTTTGTTTAGAATCTTTTAGATGGCGCTAAATAGAGAAATTAAAGAATGCTGCAAATTTTAAAATTAACTCAAATCTTAATTGCTGCAAATTTTAACTCAAATCTTAATATTTTAAACACAGTATGTTTATGGCTCGTATAGAAAGAAACAAGAAGTACAACGAGAAAAAGAATCCAGTAATTTAACTGATATTGAAAATTTCTCATTGCAGACCTAGCATGTTTCTCACATATAATACTTCTTCTTCAATTTTAAAGTTTGTTGTAATTCTCAATATAACCAATCGGTTGAGGTCAGTTTGCTAATAGCGTTTGTTTGCTTCGTGCCTGTTTGCACCCATTTTTGTAGTTTTTAAACTCTTCATGAAAACGTCCTTGCAATTAGATTAAATATTAATCGTACGATGACATTTAGATTGTTACATATGCATTTTACCGTTTTCAGTTTAAAATTCTTTCCGTAATTCTATAAATTTTATACAATTAATAGGTATATTATAATTTATTGCAATATTTGAAACTATTCACTACCGTTTATTCATGCTTGTATGGATAAGACCATTGAACACTGATAGCTTAGTCCAGGTTTGAATTCCGACGAATGATTTGCACATTTTGTAATTTCAGTAATATGTAGTATGAGAACGAACCGGAGTTCTTTAGAAAATCTTCCGCGAAAGCATTATTCTTTCTCAGAGATATCATTTCCGAATATCCTGCCTAATTGATTAAATAAGCAAAAATTAATAATCGTATTAATGTTATATATTTAATAATGACTTCTAAATATTGAAATAAGAGAAGAATAGGATATTATTTATTTTGAGTCAAAAAATAGATAAAGTTAATCTTACAGAGAAAATACAGAAAAACTTGCATTCTTAATGTCTTCATAGCACACCGCTCATAATTAAAAATTTTGTCAAAGTTACCCCGTTGTCTATTCTATACATAGCAGATAATGTGCTTAGCACAATACCACTCAAGAGATATTTATGTGCATTAATTCGCTTACCTATCATAACATTATTATCAGAATTTCTTTTTTATCGCGCCAATTTTAAGCTAGCACCTGTAGTCCATTACTTTACAATGGGCACATCACCTACAATGGTCACACTTTACAATGGGCACATCAAGGCAATTTTCTCACCAAATAGCAATCATAGTAATGAAAGTTGCTGACATAAGATCGATTCCTCTAATTTGCTAAAATCACCTAATTCGTCTCCGTGGTGAAAATGACACATGTTACGATCACAAAAGAGGAAGGATCGCTGCCATCTTAAAATGCAGTCTATACGATCACAAAAGGGATAGAGTTGAAACCTTAAAGTGCCTATTTTAAAGTAACAGACTAGTCTTGAACTAGTGCCAGAGTCGATTCTATATCATGTCAATGCTAAAAAATGTCTATCTTATGCACATTTGACTATAGGCTATGTCGATCTTACGCAGTGCTGATGTTGTGCTGTGTGTGTCGATTGATCGAATGCAAGACCAGACGGGTAGAATAGTTACAAAACTATCTGAATGAACTGAAAGTGCTACTCCGACGAAAATACGGATCATATGAAAGATAAACTGCCTCATATCCAGCTGACAGTGAGGATAAAATTAACATAAATTTTATATGCGCTGCATAATTAAAAATAAATTCATGTAATCTTTTTATTGCGATATTTATTTTATTGCAGTAAACTAGAACTGAACCGGGATAGGTTTATGTAAAAAATTTTAAGCAATGCAAAATTAAATTATTAAAAATTTAATAATAATGTATCGAAGTGATTATAAATGAACTTAAAAGGCGACATTTTGAGATCACACTCAGATATCACAATCTGTTGACAACGCTGTGATTTCTGGTTCGGACTATGGGTTCGTTATTTCTTCCTGCATTCCCCTCACCTAGTATTTTTAGCACACGATTTAAAAACTTCTAATCTATAGTAGCAGGATTATCTAAAGGATAATGGGATAATCTTATCCCCCTTGCATGCTCTTGAAGCATAAATGATTTTCACGTCGAGTTAGCAGGTAGTACATCTATGATACGAATCTCGGGGAGAAAGGATTGAATTTGCGCGTTTCATGTTCCTTAAAGTCTTTTTGTCTCTAATTTCCAATGCCATATATTACGTACTTGCTATAGAAAAGTTTTTTTTCCCTTCCTATCTATAAATTATCCGAATATTCCGGGTACAGAATAAACTGAAACTTCAGTTTTAGTTTTAACACTTCAGAGTTATTTTAGAAGATAATATCACAGTCATATTAATTTATTCGCAGTCATATTAATTTATTAAGTTAAAAACTGCAAAATAAATTAATATGGAATGAAATTTCTAAAATTTTAATAGCACGTTTCAGGTTAGCAGGGACAAAATGTGACAACTGATCCTAAAGTTTTGCTTTGCAATTACATGGTATCACCATCTACGTGTAGAATGCAAGTAAAAATTTTGAGATCTCAAACAAAATACGTAAAACCTTTGTCGAAATAGAAACGTAAAATGCTAAAATTCTAGCTGTGCTTTAGCAGTTTCTTTTTGATTTTGGAAGGAATATTTATCATGACATCGAGCATAAAAGAACTGCAAGTAAGTTTTATTTTCTCGCAATCTATATTCATTGTTTCTTGATTTGCACAATTACAAACTCCCTTGTGGCTTCGAAATTTTTTCGGCAAAATATCGGATACCGTAACCGTTAATTATGTCATAACAAGTAATATGATAAACTTAGTGAATGCTCAGTTGGCTGTTTGTGAGGTACATACATTGACATGATATTTTTTATATTAAAACTTTTCTGCCTTTCTATTTTCCACCCACTCTACCAGAAATACAAATTAAATGAACTTAAATAACTAGCGAGAATATATGATAAATGAGATAGTATTGGCAACTTAAAATAAGAGCAATGTATCTTGAAGATTACATCTACCTGACTTACTACTGTCTGATTGATGGGATGGCTGGAATTCGACTTTGCTTGTAATTACATTAGAAGGTGCGTTAATGGAGGCCAGGTTTTTAGTGTAAAATTTGATATTTGTTTTGTGAATAACTGAAATGCTATTGCATTATGGACCCACAAGAAACAGATGTTAAGTGCCTGTGAAACATTCTTGTTTTTCTAATCTCAAACCGACATACAAATAAATATTGCAGTTTATCTTAATGGTATTACTTTGTTTTATAAGACAGTAAACATGGGAAGAGTTCGTTAGGTAGTCTAAGAAGGTTGCTCATTATTTACATTAAATATTATTAAGTATAACCTTAGAGCTGAATAAAGCAATTTTGAAGTGATGATAACACGGAACAATGTAGTACAGTATTTGTTTTTGGATATTCAGCCTTTCGTGCACTTGTCACTATATCAAAAATGCATTAATTTCATGTATATACACTGCCTACCATCCAAAATGCACTACGAAGAAGGAGACGAGATTTCCAATCCAAATTTATTTCAGTCATTACACGTACTATCAATGTTAATTGATTTGAAATATAGCCTTTCCCTGAGGCGAGGAAGACGAGAAAAATAAGTAATGAGTGTTTCCTCTACGCTTTTCAATAACCGCTTCTAGACGCCACTGCGTTGAGTGAAAGAGGCTTTGGATGTGTTATTGGGGAATGGCACCCATGCTGGCTCCACATGTAGCCAGAGTTCATCTGGTGCACCAGCGAGTGTGGGATGCGGGACTACGCATTCTTCAATCATTGACCACCCATGCTCGATCAGCAATAGATTTGAAAGAACGGAGAGGCCAGGGTAACTGTGCAAAATGGTGCACTAAGAAGAAAGCTTGAAATTGCGTGCAACCTGGGGCAGCGCCTTGTCCTTTTAAAATGTGATCGCATTCAAGTCCTGAAGGTAAGGAAGGAGAATAGGTCGCAGAACCTCCAGAGATATAGCGTTGGCTCGTAAGTGTGCAGATAATGCATACTAGGGCGTGAAGGAGTGGAGCCGAGTACCACGCCACACCGTAATACAACGTGCAGAACCAGTATGACAATGCATAATACAACAATCGAGCAGCCTCTCTCCAAAGTCTATTCCGAATATCGTGGTACTGTAGGCAGGAGCGTGATTCATCCAAAACCACAATGCCATGCCATTCGGATGTCCATCTCCACCCTTCAGTGCACCATTGCAAAAGCAAACGCCAACGGTTTAAAGCAGTAGGGTAAGCGAAGCAATGGATGCCATTGTGATGTAAATGGCATCGAACTGTTCTTGCAGACATCTAATGTTGTGTTACAGACTGCATTCGTTGTGAGACAGTTGCGGATGTGGCAGTGGGCTGCATCAGTGACATGCTCACAGAAGCGGTTGCAGTTGCTCCTGTCCGTCAGTCGTTCCCTCCTGCATCCAGCGATTCCAAATTCGCAAGACGATTGCTTGGTTATATCCGACACAACAGCTGATTTCCAGGAAAGATAATGCGCAATCTCTGTATACAACGATTCTGCCTTGGTTGAACTCAGCAACGTGCTCGAATAGTGCTCCTGGTTTTTTTTTTTACGAGGCGTACTGTATGTGGTAATATAACCTACATTAGACATATTCTATAAGTAGAACTCGAAATTAGTGTTCCTTTAAGAGAATTTACAAAACAAAAAGATATTCAAATACTTAAAAGAGATTTTTTAAATCAATTTTTTAAAAATTAAATTTTACAGTTTTT